AGTCCCCTGTAGAAACCAACTCTATTCAAGCTCCGGGAAAGAGGAGCTTCATTAGGGTGTTGCAGCCAAACCAACGAAGAACCTTGTTGCGCCTGAAAGACGAACACTTTTTTCCTTGGGCGGAGCCCGCGTCTTTGCAAGGCACGAGTTTTGTGGGCTCTAATCCAGGAAACCTGAAAGCCCCGTGAAAGGTGCGCGTCTTTAAGGGGCCACAAGACTTTTCGTGAAAAACCTGTCGGGTGATGAGCCACGGCAAGTCCTCCAACTGCCCAGGATCGGCAAGAAAGTTCGGGATGAGTTGTAAGATTTTGAGAGGAGAGAAAAGGGTGGCAGAGCAGCCGACCCGGGACTTCCGGAGACACTTTTGTTTGACAGAAGCCCGAGTCTGATGAGGAGGACTCCTCCTCTTGTCCTGCTTCCGGGTAATCCGGATTGATTTCTCGCTGTGGTGGAAGCTTGCTCAGTCCATTCCAGCATCTCCCGGCGGCGTGTTGGGTAAACAAAGCGAGGCTGTTTTCGTGGAGAGGTGTATTACGACCCCCTCCCCATCAAAAGTTCTAACCTTGTGGGCTGGGTGTGTGCGTTCCCACGTGCAAGTGCATCGCAGGAGTTTCAGGTGAATCACTAGACAGCTTTGTTGAGAGAGCAGCCTTAGAAGGATTAATGAATGAACCGAGCTTTCACAGATCCTTCATTTAGAGATGAAGGGTGGAGGACACAGTGGGTGGGGGAGCGGCAGAGGCAAAATGCATCGCATTGTGTGTGTGTGTGTGTGTGTGTGAGAGAGAGAGAGAGAGAGAGAGAGAGAGAGAGAGAGAGAGAGAGAGAGAGAGAGAGAGAGAGAGAGAGAGAGAGAGAGAGTGAGTGAGTGAGTAAACCGTGTCTTTTACGGTGGTGTTCCGAAAGTGGATGCATTTCATACTGTATTAACTTTCCTCTCCCCTGGAGTTAAGCTTATTGCTTTGGACAGGGGCTGGAAGCAGCACCTTTACAACGGCAGTCCCGTCCCCCACCTATCTGGGACTAAGCCTCAAAGTATCCGAGGGGACCTTCTTTTTGAATAGACGTGTATAGAACTGCGTTGTTAATTTCCAGTTTGGAACTCGGTTATGAGGTTGTTAGTGAAACCGATCACTCCTTTAAGTTCACAGTCTCGCAATTGTTTAGGGGGAGGGGGGACGCAGAACATCTGCCCTTGCTTTCTATGCCTCCAAGCCTGCCGCTCTACAAACCTCGTTAACCCGCAGCGTCTTGGGTTTGAGTTGCTTCGGCCCCTTTTGCAATCCAAGGGGGAAATGAAACGCACCTGTGTGGGCAACCTTTCCTATTCGATCCGACGGGACTTCTAAGTAAACACTCGGAGGGGTGG